GATATTGTTGGTTGGTTAAAAAAGAAAACTGGACCAGCAGCTGATGAATTAAAAACTGTTGATGATCTTAATAAATTAAAACAAGCTAGTGATGTTGTTGTTATTGGTGTTTTTAAGGTTAATTATTGATTTTATTTTATTCTTTTATATTAATATTTTTAGTTTTTAATAGGATATGGATGGTGATACTGCTGCATCATTTCTTCAAGTAGCTAAAACAATTGATGGTATTCCATTTGGTATAACATCAAATGCTGATGTTCTTAAAGAACTTAATGTTAAACAAGATACAATTGTTCTCTTGAAAAAAGTATCTTTTATTTTTTGTGATTTTTTATTTTAATTTTACTTGTTTTTTTGTATATTTAGTTTGACGAAGGTCGTAATGATCTTACATCATCGATTGATGAAAGTTCAATACGTCAATTTATTCAAGAAAATCAACTTCCAATTGTTGTTGATTTTAGTGCTGAAGTAAGAAAAGATATGAAAAAAATAAAATTTATTAATTTTCTTCTTAATATTTAGACAGCACAAAAAATTTTCGGTGGTGAAATTAAAGTTCATGTACTTTTATTTGCTAGTAAAAAAAGCAGTGATTATGAAAAACTTCGTGAAGAATTTAAAACTGCTGCTAAAACATATCGTGGAAAAGTAACAAAAAAAAATAATTAATTTTTTTTTCAAAAATTAAATTTCATTATTTCATTATTTATTTAGACGCTTTTCGTTGCAATTGATTCTGATGATGAAGAAAATGAACGTGTGCTTGAATTCTTTGGTCTTAAAACATCAAATGTTCCAGCTGTTCGTTTAATTACATTAAAAGATGAAATGAGCAAATTTAAACCTGATTCATCAGATATAACATCTGAAGTTTTAGTCGATTTTGTTAAAGCTTTCTTTGATGGAAAACTTAAACCACATTTACTTACACAAGATATTCCTGATGATTGGGATAAAACACCAGTTAAAATTTTAGTTGGCAAAAATTTTCATGAAGTCGCTCATGATAAGAAGAAAACTGTACTTGTCACATTTATTGCTCCTTGGTAAGATTAATTAATTATATAGAGAATAAAAAAGTTAAGTAAGATAATTCCTTATAGGTGTGGTCATTGCAAACAATTAACACCTATTTATGAACAATTAGGTGAAAAATATAAAGATAATGTCGATGTTGTTATCGCTAAGATGGATGCTACTGCTAATGAACTTGAAGATATTAAAATTCAAAGTTTCCCAACGATAAAGTAAAAATCTCTATTCAAATGAAAAATTTTCTTATTAAATCAAGTTATTTTCTAGATTATTTCCTAAAGATTCTGATGAAGTTATTGATTATCAAGGAGAACGTACACTTGAAGCACTTGCAAAATTCGTTGACTCAAATGGAAAAGAAGCAGGTCACATTCCTGAAGAAGTATGTTTCAAAAGCATTATTTACATTTACAGAAAAACAATAAGTAATTTTTGTCTTTTTAGACGGAAGAACAAACAGAAGAAGCTGATGAGAATGAAGAAGCAGCCCATATAGATCTTTAAAACTTATCGTAGTTCAAGTATGAGAATGCTAATGATATAGTTACTAAAAAGACCCTTTTTTCTCTTTTATTTGTTGTTTGTCTCTTGATTCTTTTCCTCTTTACAACAGTTATTCGTAGTAAGACTAAAACTAAATCAAACGATAAGAAAGAAATATATACACATCATATATTCTATTCAAAATTTTTCGTTTATTTACCTTATTTCTTTTTATGTTTTTGACTATTTATCATTATATAAAAAAAAGACAACACAAGAATAGGAAAGTCCATAGTTATTGCAATCATTTTTTATCCATTATATATATGCTTTGATGATTATCTAGTTTATTCTCCGGTTGCTGTGTTCTTGTTAACATTTTCTTTATCTTTGTTTGTTTTGTTTCTTTTTTTTATCCTCTGAATCTGTTGCTATTGCATATGCGCGTTTATTTTGTGCATGTGACAAGAGCACTAATTGGGAATATATTCACTCATTTTGAAAACGACACCAATAGAAGAAATTTTATGTGTAATCATTTTATGATAAACGAATCAAAGATAACAAAAAAAAACACTTTAACAAGAATGTCTACAAAATTATGTTGGTAAAACTGATAAGGGATTTACTCGAGCTGTTATCCGTCGTTTGAGATCATATTAGGTACCTAAGAGAATCTCCGAAGGGCTAGATGAATTCTAAAAGGAGTCGTGCTCATCTGTTTTATTAGTTATTCGGTTTGCTTATGAAAAAAAATTTCAGACCGACATACCATGATTTAATTTTTCTGTAAATACTTCAGAGATCTCGTTGTGAATCAACTATGAGGTTTAACGGAGGCTATCAGTTTGGGTAGTTCTATCGTAATAGTTTATTTTAGTGTTGTCAATGTAAAGAATAAGTTCATGTTTTGTGGAACTCATGTATATTTTCGAAGAAAATAGTGAGTGTAAGTTTCAAGTTCAAGTTTTTCGCGGCTCTCCCTCCCCTTACAGACAGGCTTCCATCACAGATCTTTGCGACCAGGTTTCAAATAATGGATATACATGTATATATATATAATAGCTTCATTCGCCATATAATTCAATGCTGCTTATAATAAAAATGTAAAATTAAACAAAAAAGCAGTGTTAAAAATGAAAAATACTGAACGAATAGCAACAAAGAAGACGAAAAATAAGGGTGCCTGTCAGAAAATTAAAAATTCATGATTTTATACTATCTATATTGCGTATTAGTATAATGAATCTTCAGTATATACGTGAGTTCCACATTTCAGCCTCGAAGGGGCTGCGCTAACAGGCTTTTTATATTAAATTTTATGAATTTTGTTCAGCTTTTCTATCCGCCAAAGTGATTCATTAAAAATAACCTTATCATGTGACACCAGCAAGAAAATTCCGTCTCGATCTCAGTTTAGAAAAAGCTATACCAAATTTGATTCGTTTCAAATCCAAAAACATTCTGCAACATCCGTTTTGTGATTTATTTAGTCAACAAATAGCACTTTTTGGATCATCTGTCTTGAATCATGTCATGATTGATAGTTTATGAGATGATTAGCTTAAACCGTAGAATATTTCACTAAACAGTTGAGTTTTGGTCTCGATCTCAACAGTTTCTCTGTATCATGGTCTCGCATATCTATAATTACGATGATTATAAAATGACTTGTTCATCTATATAATGTAATAACTTCAAGTTTGTCGACTAGGTTTGTATAACAGCAAAAACATTGAATGAGATCTATATAAAGTAGTCACCAAAATTCTTACTAACGGATAGAAAGCAGCTAAATTTGAATTTTTTTCTGAGCTTTTTACTGCAAACAGAGTTCGGTTTACCTTAATGGCAAGTACCAATCCAAGGTCAATTGTGCTTAAGACATTGACTTTAGAAAGAAAAACATTTTTTATCCTTGAACCTCAAAAATACGTTTTTAATACGTGTATCATTTACCATTATTTTTAAGTGCTAATATCAGTCGTTTTTTGATAATTAAAGCTTCTATTATCTTAGCTGAGTCACATATAGGAGTCTAATTTCTCATGATCTTGAGAAACAGTGACGTTTATATAATCTCGGGCAGCCTTGACATAGGTCTTCGTTTCATCAGAGGCTATAGTTGTGAAATTTTTAGAAAATATTTAACTAGAACAGATAACTTACTGAAGAAAATTCCAAGATAAAGTGTTAAAAATAGTCAGATTAACTAAAGATAACTTCATAAGTCAAGCAGACTACAATCATATGACACAAAACTTTTATTAAGAATAGAGGTAGCAGTAACCTCTAGAATAAAAAAATCAAACGCTGTAAGATTTTCTGTGTTAATGCTGGAATATCTTCGTTTGAATCAGAGATGTCCATCACGGTTGAAAATCTGCTGTTACCGCGCCGCTGCCGCGACGCCACATGTAAAAATTAAACCGCACCGCGACGTAATTTTAAAAAATATACCGCTGCATAAAAATGTTTTACAAAATTATTTTTTCATAAAAATGGGCAAAATGTAGGATACAGAGTTAATACTTCCTCTTGAATGGAATACTAATGTACACAGAAATGAGAATTAGCAAAATTTATTTACAAAAACAGCAGGTTCATTTTTTTATAGGGACCAGAGATGTTCATGGCCTCTGAAAATCTGCCGCTACCGCGCAGCTGCCGCGATGGGGTTTTGAGAAACGTGCCGCTGCCGTTCCGCTACCACGGTGGCGGTAATGGCAGCGCCGCCATGGACAACTCTGATCTGAATAAACAATTCCACGTTGGTCTTACAGCTCTTGTGTTTCTAGAGTGATCATGTCTTGATCGTGCTCTATTGTGCATCAAAAGAGAAAGTCAAATGATTCGTATTGATATACTTTTTAACTGGTAGTGGAACTTTTGACGGATAAAGTAGTTCGAAAAAACAACCATAAACTTGTTCTGCATACTTCGAATTGGAATGTTGTCAACAATGATGTAGTACACTAGCATACCATATGATTGCTTTGAAAACAATATTATCAGTGTAGCAAAGAAGAGCTTTTTTTATATTTCCTGCTTCAAAAAATACCTAATAATTTATTATTATTTTTCGCTTGTCCTAACCGATAAATTGAATTGATAGTTATCATTTAAATAGAACTTATTTTAAAAAAATGATCATAAATTTTCTATTGAATAAGAATAAAAGCTAATACTTCTAGCTCGTTGTTTTTATGTTTCATCCATTACTTAATTAATATTCTTCAAGAAAAACATATTGTAAAAATTATTCGACAATGATTATCAACAAAAATACCATATTCTTTGATCTTTACTTTAGTTATGAGAAATTTGAATGTTATTATTGATTTGTAAGAGCTTTTATCATAATTGATGCATATGTTTCTTTCGTTTTGTATTAGTCTAATTATGAAACGAAATTCTTGTAAATGTAACTTTTATTTTATCTAGCTATATTAGCTAGTAACAAAACAACAAACGGTTTAACACCATCGCTCAGGAAATGTACGAATTTCTTTAATAATTCCTGTTCCTAACAAATTCCATTGATCGATTATTTTAACATAATCGATGTTACCATGTTTATGAGTGGATGGTTTCCATAGTACACCAACTGTAAGACCACCGAATTCATCATGAAAAAATTCTGCTTGATCATTATAGGATGTCTGGAAGAGAACGAATGAAATGAAAATACCAAAAAACAAAATTTTTTTATAAATATTTTACTCGTAATTCATTAACAAATAATTGAGCTGGATCATAATCAACAATAGATAAACATTTTTTGTTTTCATCCATTGATTGATCATTATCAGTTAATTTCTTTCTTGTCGTGTATGTTATTTCACTTATTACATGATCAACAGCTTGATAAGCACGTGGACATTGAAGTGGATTTAACATAATGATTACATCATATGAATTAAGACTTGGTCGAAAAAGAAACTAAATTGAACAAATTATTATTTATAATATTATTTTAACTCTGACGTTTACAAAGACAATAATTGAATACTGAATGTAGTTGACAATCCAACGTTTTTAGTTAGCAAAAGAGAAAATTAAAATATAGTTAATTTTCAAATATTTTTATGATATTTTCGAATTTTATTCTGTACAAATTATGACATTGTATACATTCTCTTGTAAATTTCAACGTTCTTTATGTTTTCATTTACTAGTTGTCAAGTAATGAGAAGATATTTGGATTAATTTTAATAAATTATTAGGATGGAAATTTTCTAATCGTGCTTTATTGATTTTATATCATGTGGAAAATAAAATTTTTTATGTCAATTTCTTTATTTAGAAATGTTTTTTTCTTCATTTTTTTTATATCAAAGAGTTGATAGCTACTGATTCAAGTTTCTTTTTTTTCGTAAAAAAGAAGTCATCAGACACATAGTTTTCTGATATGCTAATATTTCAGACGACTTTAGTGTGACGAATTTACATGGCAAGCGTCAAAAGAGAAGGATTCAAAATTTTTCTACAGAAAAATCACAATTTTTCTAACTTCGATATCAATTAGAAGTAACTGGTTTTATCTAAAAATAACCGTAAATTGCTCGTTTTCATCACATGAGTGATTTCTATGAATACATGATCCACTTCGTGCTGCTCAGCAATATACGTTATCGTTAGCATGTCGTGTTTAGTATTATGTCGTCCCACTGTACATAACAGAGTGCACTGGCTGTTCATAGAAAGAAGAATCTTAATAAGATAACTTTTAGTGCAATGCAAAAACTTCTTAGACCGAATTTCTTCTTATCTTTCATAACCATCGACATTTTTATCAGATAATTTTGAAACATGTATCCTATTATTTTCTATAGTCTAGCTGCAATAATAGTTCAACTATAAGCAACTTAAAGTCTCATACAGAACGAGAAATGCTTAAAAATGAAGTGCATATACTCAAAAGATACATCAATAATCAATTGATCGATTTTGGAACTATCAAGAACTCCTGATCCTTATGTGGACTATTTAAGAAATTGGAACGATAAACCTGACTAGAAAATTATTGATTGTTAATTGCATTCTGAATTCAATTATTATTACTTTTTAATCGGTATTCATATTACTTTCATCGTATCACTATTATTTGTCTTTAGATAAGCCAATGCTTCTTTAGCTAATTGTATCACACGTTTTAATATGGGTACACTTGGGTTTTGATTATCATGAAAAGCTACTGAAGGCATTAAACATAAAGCTGGTAAATTAGAACGGTCAGTTTTAAATTGTGTCTGGATTTCAAATACTTGTTCTCCTGAAAAAGCATACATAAAAATAAAATTTCATCTTTTTTTTTCATTACTTGTTAATTCATGATTAAAATTTATGATTAATGGTTCATTAATCCAATCATAATCACGAAGAAGACGAAGAACACGACAAAAGCCAGTTAACATCGATCTATATATAGGGAATATATTTTTTATTATGAATAAAAATTAAAATACTTTGGTGGTACAAATGGAGCTGAATGAAGAAAAATATAACAACAAAGTAAATCTGCATTAATCGGATCGAAATGATATAGAAGTAATTGTGATGAAAGCCAACGTTTAAATAAACGTGATACTAATTGATAATGAATAAACTGTTGACTAACACTAAACGAAAAGAAATTCAAAATATTGTTTTCAAAATTTTTCTTTTACAAGTCTTTTTCTTGTTTTACCCATAAATAGCTGCATTGATTTTTGGTAAATATTCTGTATGATATCGTAATTTTTTTGATAAATTTGTTTGTTTAATTGTACGTTCTAATCCATCTTTTTTACCAGCTTCACTTTCAATTAAATAGATTTCTTTATGATATGAAATAATTAAACGATAAATATAATGATTTTTTTCAATATAACAACAATCTGTTGTTGCTTGACATATATAACGAAATTTTTCTTTTAATAATTTTGATAATTGTATATAATAAAGAATCTTTGAATGTTTTATACGTTCAAGTGTTTCAAAACCTTCATCATTTGAAGTAGTCATTTCAAGTTGACACAATACTAATAATGATTGACTAAATGGTGGAGCATAACGTGATGTTGAACGAGGTATTAAGGCATATTTATCATGTTCAATTGATCGAATTTTATGTAAATCTGTTTGAAATGATGATGGTAATGGTGGAAAAACATTTGTATACCGAAATGTCTCATCAATACCAATAATATTATTTATTTTAAGTGAAAGTTCATTATTTAATGTTCGAATTTGTTTAGATAATTCAATTAATTCACGACAGAGATATATTTGTTGTTCATCACCTGTTCCATAGGATGGAAACAGACGAGCTGGAATCGAAAGTAATGTTGAAGGACATTGATCATTATAGAAAAATTCAATATTAGTTGGTGATATACCAGCTTGTCTAAAAAAAAAGGAAAAGATTGCGACTCGAAACAAAAACAAAAATTAAAGTCTATTACATTTCTAATAAATATCGAGTTGCATCCATCCATATAAGTCGTTTATCTTTGGCAGAATCAACATTCCATACAACAGATTCAAGTATTGATCCATCAGGAAAACGACGTAATTCACATCGTTCACTCCATAATTTTCGAAATGCTTGAGCCTAATATGAGAAAAAAAGACTGTTAAATAAAGTCAGTCGAGTTGGTTTTGAGGTCGAAGCTTTTGGATCCGATGAGCCCTAACTGTGATATACGATTTCTGCAATAATATTTGAAATATTGATAGAGAAATGTATTAAAAAATTTGATTGCAAACATTTTTTTCCGGGCTTATAGATGAAACTCAACGTTTATATAACGTATCTTTGAAAGAAAGTGATCAATGAATATCATTGATAAGACATAACTAGAAATATGTAGGACTAGTCGTTTTTTGTTCTGGTCTGAATCTCAGCTTTATTAAATTGTTTCTGACTCCGGTTCTGCTGTGATCGAGACCATCATATAGCGTCCTGCAGGGCAGTTTTCCATGTGTCATTTCTTGCGGAAATTCTGAACGATGTTAAAAATGAGTGTTTCGCTAAAACCGTTTTTTTATGTAAATACTCTTTAAACTTTGGTCTTTCAAGTACAAAAAAAGAGTCTAGGTGTCAATCTGATGAAGATTGTTGAGAGAAAGATTTCGACATTCCTCCAAAAACTTCTCCATCGCTTATTAATTAAAAGAAAGTTAATCAGGTTCATTGACTATTAATTAAATTTTAATTCAATAATCTCAGTTGAAAATATACCTCCAATGGTAATATTATTTTCAATTTAGAATCACCTCACGTTGCGTAAAGTGCGACATTGACAGAAGATAGTTTCTGACATGATAATTTATTTTAAATACGAAAAATAAAATCCTAATAGAAATTTTGAAAGCATTACAGAAATGGGAATCGAAAAAAGTCCTTTTCGCAGAATACTACTTAGTACAATCTTGCCTATATCTATGTAGAACACATGAGTTGTCACAATATGACCTTCCAGTCAAGGTTTACATGATCATAAAAGATACTGTTGCCAATAAAAAAGTGTTGCCCTGGGATCGAGACCATGTTTCCTGTGTCTAGAAATGAGTAATGTTTTAAAGAAATTTTCTTACTTCTTTCGATCCATTTTCAGGTCCTTTTAAAACTGATAAGTCATACTGATCAGAAAAGATAACACCAAACGTTATCGTTGTTCTTGTTGACACGGGCTCATTAATTGGCCACTAAAAAGCAAAATAACTAATATATGAAACTGTTTCAAAGAAAAATTCAATTTATCTCTTCTACATAACCAAAAATTAAAAAAAAACTATACAGAAAAGCTAATGTAATTTTTGACGTTCATGAATTGTCAAAAAATACGGTTTTTCATACAAAATCACTAATCGACCATCTTTTAATAAACAAATATTTGTTGGTGATCTATTTCGTTGCATAGTTGATGTTATTATTTTGTTTTTAGAACGTGTTAAATCAATATTTTTTAAACATTTTTGTGAACTATTCACATAAATATAATTTCCTTTGTATTTTGTTGATTCTATTCGTAAAGAACTTCCTTTAACTTCTTGTTTATTATCTAATAAAAATTCTAATTGAATAGCCAATGTTGTTCGGTTAATATTTCTTAAATAAATTTCATTATTTTGATTTTTATAAATAACAATTAAATCATTCTTATCACATGTAATATCTAATATAGTATCATGTGAATTAAATAAATCAATATTTTTCTTGATGGTTAGGCTTAAAGTGCGTTCGTCTAAATGATATTCCACAAGATTATGACTTCCCAAGACACAGTAAATAGTATGATGATAGCAATGAATATAATTCAGTGGTAAATCATCAGATAAACAGCCTAAATCAATTACAGATAATAAATTTCCATTGAATACATATAAATGACTATTATCATTTGTTGAAATTAAATATTGATCATTGGTATGACAATAGGTTAAATCAGATATATTTGAATTAAGAGCTGATGGCCATTTTAAATAAAAACGGTCACAGAAATTTTTATCCTTTTGACATTGTAAAATACAGAGAATATTTAATTTCGAATTATGTATCATTAGTTCATTTCGTCTTGTTGAACTAGCTATACAATTATATTTCGTTTCACATTGGGCAAACATTAATGTTGAATAATTAGTTTGATTAAAACTTTTTAAATTAAATAATAATGATTCAGAATTAGTATCGAGTTGATTATTTTGTTCTAATGAATTCTGATAATTATTATCATCGGATGCAAGAACTTTATAAGAACGAATTAATGTTTTAGTATCATCATTTGATGTTTGTAACTGTTTCTGTTTAATTTGAGACAAAGGTATCGAATCAATTGTATATTCAGTTATTTTTCCTCGTGAATTACATAATTCACGATTTTTATCGATTAGAATTGGAATTGTAGGTTCATGTTTTGAAGTATATAATCGACTTGAAGTATTTAATAAATTATCATTCTTTTCTGATTTTATATGATGTTGATCTTTTAAAGAAAAAGGAATTTCTGTTGAAGACGTTGCTATTGGTTTTAAAATCCATTCTTTTTTTGATTTATTTTGATTAATTATATTTGCAGTTGGTTGTCTTCGTGATAATAAAAGTCTATTTTGAATTGATTGAGATTTATCTTTGAACATTTGTTTTAAGGGTACAATTGTTGTTTCTGTTGTTAATTCTCTATAATGTGCATAATGTAATTTAATTTTTTCACAGAATTGATTTGTGGTAAATAAATTTGTATTCAAATGTATACGTTTTTCAATAGAATTTAATTGTGAATAAATATATAAATATTCAATTTGACCTTGAAGATCATCTGAAAAATTCTTTTTTTCTATTTGTTCATTGATAATTGTATATTGTTTATTTATTTCATCATAATATTCATTATAAAATTGATTAATCTCTTCCGATTTTTGTTTTATTATATTATCAATTTGTTCAATTGTTTTTATTTTCCATTGTTTTAATTTTTCATTAAGTTGTTCAATGTATTCTTGATTATGTGTATGAATTGTAGGTGAATGAAATTTTTCTTGATATATATTCGATGCTTCACGAAATTTTACTAAAATATCGTTTTCCATTCGTAAAAAAAATATATGCGAGTTTACCACAAGTGTCTGTGTGTATGTGTACGTGTATGTGTATGTGTGTGTGCACGCGTCTAAAACGATAGATAATAAAGATAAGAAACTTACTGATTTTATTATTTGACGAAATGAAGGTAGAGGACAAAGTAAATTGATACGTTCTTTAAGAGCATTTTCAAGTAGATCGAGAAGTTCTCGGCATAATAAATAATGTTTATTATTCAGATTATCCATCATTAATTGTTTTTTATTTGACTTTTCATCAAGAAGTTTTTCATATTGATCAAGTGAAGAAATTCTAAGAGGGTAAAAAACGTCTTTTTTTTTCATGAAAAAGTGAGGAGAATGATATTTATTTACTGAATAACTGCGTCCATGCTATAGATTGGTTCCATAGAAGTAATGAATAATGTTTGAAAATGATCAATAACTGGGTCGTTAAAAGAATTTAATGACATATGTGCTTCATGTTTTAACTAGAAAAAAAGAAAATTAATTTGTTTCACTAAGATATAAGTCAAAGAACTTTTTAAAGCCTGCACCCACTCACGAATGTAGAGTTCTAGATTAGACAATGTCAATGCAGGGTGCATTGGATTGCGGAAGAAGCGACCTGCTGCGGAATGAACCGGGTCATAGTGAGTTTCGTTCTTTCACTTCCGCTCAGTATTTCTGGCACTTTACGGATGAAAGCACTTTCTGCCCAAATTTTTAGCTCCTCTCGCTCCTAAAAAGTATCAACAATCTTGCGTGAAAGAATCGCCTAAAATGATTTAAAACTGATCCACCCATGTTTTGCTCAGTTTTATTGAACTTTTTCTACAGGACTGTGAGTTTTTGTAATAAAATTATCGAATTTTAACCTGAATCTTTGTTAATGTTAACACTTTGACTAAATTAGATTGCATTAAAAGCTTCAGAGTTTTTAAAAATAACATCATTGAGATTTGGATTTGACGTTTGTAAATAGATATTCTATGAAATACGGATATTTGCAAAGAGCTAGACTTCGATAATCCTACATTCAAGAATTCTATTTTTTTTAAATAGAACTTAATCAAGTTACTATGAATAAAGTTTTAGATTAAAATTCGAAAATATTATTTTGATGAAATATCTAGATTCAACATGAAAGTATTAGTAAAACTTCGATACCTCAGCTGAATGACAAGGTTATTCTATAATCTTTTTGGCTCGTTCTAGTCTACAGATTCCGTACGAATGAAGCCAAAAGTCTGGAATAGTTTCAAGCAAATTGTGATTCCAAATGAATTGAGTATAAAGATTTTTGAATGCAAACAAAAATGTGGAAATACAAATATTCGTGATATGAAAATGGTCTAGATTATGAAGACAAAATCAATATTTGGTTTCGAACAGTTGATAATAGATCAATGCACTGTTCATTCAAATTGATTATCAAGACCAAGATCAAAAACAAAACCTACTCTAAGCGAGTTCAAGAGAACACATCTGACTAAGACACAGTCTTCGTAATAGTGTATATTTTAAATCGCTCATATACACTGACAGATTTTATATTCTTATCTCAAGGGTAGGAGTAAATTAAAAGGCTTGAAACTTTTACAATAACCTTTTCTCGTTAAGACCAATCTCTGTGCAAAGTTTCCAGTAGACATTAGAAAATGAGTTTTCTAGTATTGTTGGCAGAGACTACCCTATTGGCTTAAAAGCTACCATGAAAATGCATTATCTTCGTAGCAATAATGTTAAGAATCAGAACTCTTTTCAGGGTATCTGTAGCTCATTAGAGTATACATGATGTAGATTGTAGCGTGGCAAATACAATTAATCTATTGGAGGAATCTTTCGTGAGCTCAAAATCATTTTTTTTTCTACAGTTTATATTTCAATAAATTCAACTGATGAGAGCAAAAGAATAATAATCTCGAACATCTTAAGTTCAATTTACTCGCTGTTTTTCAGTTTCATTTATGGACAACCATTACTATTTCAAATTGAATGACTTTCTTTCAAAATGAACGTATTTATGTTTTTATTTTCATGAATTATTTTCAAATAGATGAAAACAACTTTTAAACTTACTCTTTTGTAATTAGCTCTTGTTAATGTATGAAATACATTGAGTAAACCAGATTGATCAATAAGAATACAATCATCTTGCACAAATAAATTATCAACAATCTTTTCATTTGTTAACGAACAACATTGAGATGATAAAAAATCATTTTCCGCTTTGATGTAGAAAAACATAAAACATATGAAATTTCCATTTTTAAGAATTCAAAAAAAAACAATCTTACTTAATGCAACTAAAACAATCCGAAATACTTGATAACTATTCATTTGTTTATTGATTTTTTTTGTATGTAATAAATAAGCTAATAAAAATGCTGGCATAGCACCTTCAAATGAACCAAATCCCTAAATAAAAAATATATTGTTTATTTTTCTTATTAAATCAAATATAGTTTCTATGTTTTTTCATTTACATGTGATAATTGTCGTTGTTCTAACCAAATTTTAAATAATTTCAATCCACTACATAGTTCATTTGATGATATAAATAATTTATTTAAATAATCTGACGTTGATCGATAACGACAATCAAACAGAATAGATGAATTATAATTTGGTGTTGAATAAAATGGTTCTATTTCATCGTCGTTATCATTAAACCATTTCCATCGAAGGTTGCTTGATGTCGGTAACAAACGTTTTTCATTAAAATAATCTTGTTCTGGTGCAAGTAAAATTCGTATTGCAAATGATGATTTTTCTAAAATGAGTAAACGATTATATTAATTTTGTGAAACAGGATCTAAAAGGAGTATTGAAAGATAAAGGTAAAAATTTTGAACTCGGACTTAGTTGATTGAAACGTTTTTAGACTCGAATCTGAATGAGGCCCGTATTCGTAATATTACGAATAAAATTTTATTTCTTCGTGTTGATAGTCGCTCTGGCAATACAAAATATTTACTTGGCTTATTTAGATTCAGCAACTAGCACACAACTGTCAGATCTGACCCGGCAGGTCCTATGCAAAGTAGTCCCGGCGACTAAAGAAATATGTCCCAAAATAGATAGAACAAAACAAGCTCCCTATGATTAGCAGCAGCAACTACTACCGTGTTTTATGCTAATAGTTTTTTTTAGATCTTGGTTTTTTCTTTATTTAATTACCGTTTGGCTTAACAATTAAAACAGCTTGATTAAGTTTTGTATCATTTAAATGTGAAAATTCTAATGAATATTTAAGCTTTTTTGCCATATAACAAAGATAAATGGCACGTTTTTCGATATATTCATTGTTAAGATAATCTTTTTTATGAATACAAATACGTGGCATTTCGACGAGTAAATCAATAATTGTTGATATTTTATTTGATGACTTAACTATAATACCATCATAAGTATATGAACCAATTACTTGAATAACAGTTGGTGGAATAAATTGAAATTTTTTCTTCATTTTAGAAAATGATAAAGGAATTTTTATGTCGAATTTTTCAAGCCATTCAGACATTTTTGATAGCTATTGAGTATAAAGAATTGGCTAGAGAAGAGACAAATATATATATATATATATATGACTTACATGTCGAATTTTTCCTTGAGGAATCGATTTAAGTTCATTCGAAATTTCTTCAATGAATTGATCAATCTCAGTACGTTGATTTTCTTTTAGTCTTACTTCATTTAATAATGCATTTACCTTAAATAGACAAAAAGTTAATATAAACTCAATATCGACTAATGAGGCTGAAGTTTCTGGAAATCTAATTTTTGTACCCCTTGTAAAATATTTCTGACAGACCCATATCAACTTACGCAGTCGAAAAAGGAGCTATAATAAACTAATTAGATAGGATAAACGGAATATTCAGTAACCAATTTCATATAAAAAAAGTTGGTCATCAAACCTGCTTATATAGAAAAGAACTAATCATTCATAGTTGGATGCAACTCTTCCGAATCATTGAACTATGAGCTGTCACGCATCTAATTAAACGGTAACGGGTTATGCAAAAACTCAATACATTTTAACTTTTTCAAAAACCACAAATAAGATAACTTTTACAAAAATGAATATCTATATCATATATTAGTTGAAAGCTTGAACTACTTATTATTCAGAATTACGCGTGCATTGAATCTGAACGTTGAGTTTGGTGTTGACTGCAGTCTTTTTTAGCTAACCAATAAAAGGATATAGAGATAAATCAAACAAAAAGATGACAAGTTTGACTATAGTAGATGTACGCATAATGAAATAAACGATTTATATAATGAAGGACTAAAGGTATCCTGAAGAATGTCCACGGTCTTTAGAAATATCAGAATCTCGAAATTTGACTGAACTTTAGAGGGCGACCATGACTATTCGAATGCCTAAATAAAAGCTGGAGCAACTACTAACATATTGTATACTATCCAAAGTGACCTATTGAACCCAAACTGTTTGTTCCAAATACCGAACTCAAATTCGAATTCGATTGCTGTTTATTCAGAATTCAATATCGAGTTTTTCATAGACTATAATCCATTACTCTTCTTTTCAAGGAATTCAATTATCTACCTCTCGATCCCAACCCAATAAATTAGAACTCATTCCACATTTGTCTTATAGATAATATCGTCAATAATAACTAAACATTTCGAGTACAAATTAAGTTATTTCTCTATATAAATAAATACCTACTTTCATTTTTGTAACAGTAGAATGATAAGTTATTTCTGATTCGAAATATGTTATTTCTAAATCTTGTTCGTCATTTTTTTTTGATTTTTTCTTTTTTTTGTGTTTAAGTCCATTTGTCAACGAAGTTCCGTTCGCTTTACGTTTAGTTACTTCCATCTGAAATTTTTTAGTTTAAAAGTAATGTTCAAACTAGAAATTTATTCAGTAATCATATACAGTATTATCCTTCTTTCTTGCATCGCTATTTATGTTCATTGCGATTATTATTATATGTTACATCTGTGGGTACAGTTTAAGAAAAATGGACAAGTTAAGGGAAAACATGGACGCTATGATGAAGGCATAAATGAAGTGATCGGATTGGCCAAAAATTCTTCAAGTAGAAATCATTATAGTTAGCGACGATTCACACTAAAATCGTCACAGTCCTTCTGTGACTGACAGCATGAAATTAATAATGAAATATTATAGAAAATGATTTAAAGAGAAGCAGTGAGAAAATAATCTAAAATTGCATAAGATCGAACACAAATGTGTCTTTATTGTTTTTTTTATCAAATCTGTGCTTCATTTTATTGAAATATTTGTCATATGATAAAAACTTAGGCATAATTATTCTGAAATTGTTTAGAACTATTGATGAAATATATAGATACCGGAAATCATAAGTCTTGAGGGTGAGCGTAGAGATGCATAAGTGCTAGTGGGATCATTTAGAAAGAGACTATTTCATATGTACGTTCTTCTTTGAGAAATGAATACTAGAAAAAATTCGGTGATCACAAGCATACTTTTTTTGGATGATCTACAATATTTTGACGCTCAGATATGGATACCTTGCCTCAGTGTTTCTAACGTTAAGTACTTCAAGCAAAATCATAGTACACAAGGTACTTACGATTTTGAAAAATGCTAGATTCTGTATTTTGCGGAAAAAAACAAAGTATCTTAAGGGTACTTTTGTTAATTTTTCGCCATTATTTAAAAGTTGCTCGTCTTCCTCTTGTGTATGTATTTTACCTGTAGATTGAGTTAAGAACCTTGCTTTTTTCTCTAGCTTAATCAAATCGAATTCATGACCGATATTTCTATTCCTCCTTTGACATTTCGACATTTTTTTTCATATAATAAATAATGGTAAAAAATCGGCTGTTTACCGCGGTTTATCGCCAAAAATTTCTGGTTTTTGCGATATGGGTTATTTTGGTTTTATAAGAGGAACAATTTTTGAATTAAAAGATGGAATTAATGATAACCTTGTCTTTGTTTTTCTTCAATCAGCTGTTAGCCATGATAATTTGAAGTACTTTGTTATCAAGACCAAAGTACCAATAGATACTTTGTGAATAGAAATGAAGTGTCCCGTTTGTCATCTGTCTTAGATTTCTATTAGGAACACTGCTTAAATGATGCCCACATACATGAATAAACAAAATAAGAAAAAAACATCACATGATCATTATTTTTAACACATTTCGAGCTTTTATAATACAACAATAGCAGAAAAAACCTAATGTACAATAATTAACAAAGAAACGACATGAATTAATTGTCCCATCTCGATGATTTCGACTGTCGGAAGCGACGCCTATCTGGCCCGAACGGCTATAAAACGACAACCATTCTTCTATAGAGAGTATAGAGAAGAGTATATATAGAAAACTATTTTTTCAAGAATTTTCCTAATATGTCTTCAAATTCATGCCAATTATCTTTATAAAGACATGCTCAGCCAATAGCCTTTTAAAATAGAGTAGCGTTTAGAATGTTCGTTGATGATAAGCAGAACATTAGATTTTTTCTTTCGATGACAAAATCAAAAAATACGAATAACAAAAGAAAGATAGCCAAGTACCTCGGTATTTTTCAGTAACTTTATGCTATAAACAAAACAACAAAGATGAAAAGACAAGGAAGTGAAAATATCCACTGATGCGTTCTGTACGGTTTTTGAAGAGTTGGATAATTTCAGAGAGGCACTAGCCCAACAGTAAGTTAATATTGGCTGATGGAAACTGTTCAACATATATTCTCTTCAAATAATTTCATCGAATTCAGAGAGGAAAATCAATTTGTCATAATAAATTCTCCTATTGATAAGTTTTCGAAACTTACTAATTTCCATTGGAGAATAGACAGAACAAAGCGTATGAAAATGAGGGTAATCATTTGTACTTAAAAAAAAGAAAACAGTGGGCATGCGTACGGTGCTGAAAAAAATGAGAGAAAGAAAACACATCGTCAATGAAACGAATTGAAAGTGGTTTAACATAGAATGTAACGAAAGAGAGAAAATTGTTACAGAACACTGTTACGAGTATCAGTAGACATTAAAAACAAACAAAGGATTCACTCTCAATGTCAGTTGTATCTTCAAGCGGATTTTAACTGAAACTTTGGAAGGAGAGATTTTCCGATAGATACGAATTTAACTAAGTGTCTTAGTAGTCGAGGTACTGAATATTTTTCTTTTAAAATTCAGAATCAGTTACATATGAATAATTCTAATATAAATTTGTAATTATTCTGTTGATGATGATGATTATACAAAATTCATTTAGATACGAGAAGAATAAAGTATTGAGAGCAATTTGAATTTTTAAGATACATTGGTATGGACATTTCAAACAGTACTTTAAATATGCAGAAACATTCATACTAGTTTGTTGCTCAGTTTCACTATTCTAATACACTGATTTTGTACAAGACTTAGGTTACAAAAAGAGTCAAATCGACCGAAGGAAATTTTTCTATAAGATCAAAATCCTAAATTGTTGGGTAGATTCTTGTCAATAGGTATTCGTCTTCTCATGAACCTTCGGCAAGATGTTCCCAAGTTCTTTTTTGGTGTTTTCTAAAAAACGGAGTACGTTATGCCACAACTTAAGTCACTAACTTTTCTCCCGATGGATCGATAAACTTCAGCACGGAAGATATTTATGTGGTATTTTTGATATCTATTCACAGTATTTTTAAGAAAAAGTTCGAGTCTTTCGTACATTGTATCTTACGATACTTGTTATAATATCTACTTTTTAGACCAAAAATCACATAGTGTGTATGTGTGCATATATGACTGGTACTATTTGAAATCACGTCAAACTTCAGTATATTCACCTCACTATCGACACATTTGGATGTTGTCAAGACTTGACAAGAATATCAACATAGAAGGTTGATGACTTTTCAAATTATCAAACACCCATCATTCATATAAATAGTAATTCATTCTAGTATTTCAAAAATACTTGAAGAAAAGCAAAATAACTACTCGTGAGTTTTTGAACTCTAATTACAGATATGTTTAGTCTTTCGAATAACATCACATATATGATATTTTGTTCTATTTGAATCAATATTATTAATTCATTCAAATAAAATAGCTCTATATTCATGATCATAGTCATTCTGAAACTCTTTAACATTTTCTAGTTTTTGTAACTAAATGAATATTTTAATGTTCAAAAGAATTTGAAATATTGTAATATGACATTAAAAACTCCATAATGAGCTATGATCTTATCAAATAAAAAAAATAATGACGGAAAAAGATGGAAGATTATTTTACGAATACTAATTCTGAAGATTGGAAAGTGTTGGCTTTTCGAAAGAAAAGAGTCGAGTGTTAATGTTTTTTTCATTCAAAGCAGGACATGTTAATATTATGCTAGACAGAATGGAAAAAATCGTCATCTTTATCGATATTGGCACAAGTGATATTTAGTTAGTCACATGCATACATGTATAATTTAGTTGTATATGTTCTATAGCTTGTGTTTTATTTGGCATGTGTCTGGACATGTTTCGTCATATACCCTGGACGTGCTGGGAGAAGATAAAGCGTAATTTATTTTCCATACTTAAAGTGTGAACAGTGCCATAGCAGCAACCCTTGAAGTGCGTTTCCTGCAATTTAAACTTATTTGAAATCGAAAACAATTCGCGACTAGTTAATTATGAAAAGTGTGCCTATCAATATTATCATTTAAGTGCATTAATAAAAAGGGTTTGAAATGCATCCATGGTCAAATGAAATGTTTCAGCTATGAGCTAAAGAAAATTCAAAGATATATATTTCATTCCTTCGGAAGCATACTCTGAAGTTAGTATTAAAAAAAGTACCAATGTAAGTTTTAATAACCCTTTGGTTTCATTAAATTTGTCTTTTTCAAAAGAACATGGAAATGGATGTTGCCAATTACAGCATTAAACAATGTCGCAATTGTCACTTACACTAAAACCGAATATACCAACAGTTCGCATTCCCATCGAACGTTATAGCAAGTTTCGTAGGTAGTTAAAAAGTTTCATGTTTATTTTTTTTAATTTACAGTATGTGTTCAATGTAGGACGCATATTATTTGTAAATTAAGAGACCAATTTTCTCAAGTATTGCTCAAGTATCAGCACATCCTGACTTTAGTGAAACGTTCAATCTTGACACCTGATAGTAGTCGCTGCTCTATAGATCGCTAGTAGAAACAACAAATCAGTTTTTATCGTTTCAGCTGCAATAATGTTAATCAACCGGATCAGCTGCTAAGCGACATCGATGGTCTAAAAGAAACCTTTATTGAGTTGCGTTTATTGCTTCAAAATGAAAAATTTTTAGATTTTGACGATCCATATTAATTAAATAAATAAGACTACGATTACATTATTCGTCTTCGAATCAGTAGTCTGTATATTAATACAATATCGTTTTATCTTAAATTTTCATATTTTCGTTGTAGGTATTTTGAAAGTGTCGTTAATAAATTTCAGTCAATGCGAGACTCAAATATCCGTTCAATGTGAATGATAATTGCTATTTTTCATTCAAAAATATATCTCGGATTAAGTAATAATGTTATACCAACTACACTTCGTAGTCAAGACAAACAAGTGGCATGTCAAGATGTACAAAGCAAGGTACCGATTAACGAATCAAAAATTTGATTCTAGCTTATGTCGAGTTTAACATATTAGTCGCCACATTGCACTTGAACGTTATCAAGCAGCAATTCCCAACGTGTTTTTAACAGATTGTTTATTGATAACCGATAGAGGTAATGGATGGAACATATTTTTATATACAAAAATCTGATCACAATCAGCGATAATGTCGTACTTATCAATACATAGGCATCGACATCTTATTAAACCCATGATCATTG